AAGTTAACTGTTATTTTTATTTAAATTGTTACTACTTATCTTATAACAAAGGTACCTTTTATTTTTTATTTTAAGTTTTGGGTGCATTGGTGCTTTTAATAAAACATGTTACTACAACAATTTTTGCTATTGTTTTGGTGAAATTATAATTATAAAATGTTATAGTTCTGACGTAGTAGTTTGTATGTTCAACTTAAGTCTTTAATTTATTGTTGATTTTAAAGGGGAAAATGTTCATGGTTAATTACCCAACTGGAAATTAAATTATGCTGAAGAAATGACCAAGTTCCAACCTTTACTGATTTAAATATTTTTTATATCACAGCCATGTACAGTTGAGTTTAAAACAAATGTTTTAAATTAACTAAAGTATTTTAAAATAGGTAGTGTTCATAATAAATAATTCATATTATATACATACCGAAATTTTGTGCGACTCAAACTAAAACCAATAGGAACACTTTCAGGAAACATTCAATTAAAAATTGAAGCAATATCAGTGCATGATGATGCTGAGAAGTTACTGGTGACCATTTTCATAACCCATATCAATTCAGCTCTTTTAGCACAATCGTTAGGATTAAATAACTTCAAAGTAGATTTTACTGTAGCTTCTAGCGGTTGGTCATCAGATGTATTAGCGGTAGAAAGGCGCAATTGATTTAATGCAAGTTTAGTTTTAGAATGTTCTTTATGTTTACTACTGTTAGAATGTTGATTAAGGGCTTGAAAACCTTTTAAAGTAACATTAATTGTAGTTGAACATATCTTACAAAATATTTCATGGGCAGATTTACGGGCAGCCATATACAACTATTGAACTATACTCAATTGTAACTCATAACTCCATGACATAATAATAATTTACTTTTAATTAATTATATTTTGACGTTACTCAACAATATGACAATACTAACAATCTTTATCTGGGTATTGTTTAGTGTTTCCCTAGAAATTATCATAAATAGAAGTAGTCTATAATTATAATAAAATAGTTCAGCGTTTCCTGATAACGGATCATAAAATTAAATTATATATTAATATGATATCGAGTAAAATAATGAGTGCTCAGAGCTCAGCACTGCAGATTATAAAACTTCAACCACGGACTAAGATATACAGGACTGGACACGAGATGAATATTGTGGTTACGAAATGTTTTACAACAGGCGGAGTTCGGGGGGATATTTTCCTTTTAGCATTACTAGCGCCGTCTTAGTGGATACTTATGGAACTAGAAATTTGTATGATGTGTTCTAGTTCCATAAGTATCCACTAGGACGGCGCTAGTAATGCTAAAAGGAAAATATCCCCCCGAACACTGCCTGTTGTAAAACATTTCGTAGTCAACCCCCCCACACCCTCCAACCTTGTCGTGTCCAGTCCTGTATATCTTAGTCCGTGACTTCAACAATATTTTTCAGTGATAATATCACGATTTTGACCACGGTTGTACCACAGAACAAGGTTAGTATAGGTTGTACCTTAGGTATATATTAAAACCATGATTTTGACCAATAATAATTATTATACAGTGTAGCCTCATAAAAAAATAATTTGGGGAAAAAATCAAAAATATGACAAAAATACAAAATTATGCACCGACATATAATTATACATATTAGGTATGTGTGTATAATGAAGATAAATTTAATTACTAATTAAGTTATTCTCAAACAAAAAAAAAAAACTAATTAAGTTTGGAACAAAAAAGTGACAAAAGTGATTAAACTTCAAATAAGTGACCAATAGTGACTGATTTTTTAATAAATGACTAAAAGTGATAAAAGTGACTAGCTTCCAGCCCTGCCAACTACTTTTTGAACATAACGCTATAAAAACTTAAGTAGGTATTTTTCTCAAGTCTAAGAAATTATTTTTTCAGATAGAACGGAATAAACAAAAATTATTATGTGCAATTTGTATATGTACGATTTAGCTTTTATCTATTTTTTTCTTGGATGGTCCTTTAATAATATGTTTGGTTTTAATCTCTCCTACTGAACCTTTATATCAGCTGCATGTCAATGTTCTTCTTCAAAATGTATGATTTTCGGTATTTTCAGATCGGTACTTAATATTGCTGCACAATTCATTGATGATTTTTTTGAACATTTCCATCGAATGATACTTTGGCATTTCTTTTTTTATATAATACCCGTGTAGTGCAATTTTGTCATTTCCTATATTTAGTTTTAGAAGTTCCATGGTTAAACACTTGCGTACAACTAGAAACTAAAATTAACTAAAATTAAACTGGATACCAGTAGCGGACTGGCCCGGCGTGCCACTATTCTATAGCACAGTGGGCCGGTACCAGATTGTAAGTGTTGGGTCGCTACTATGGCTAGCAAATATATCTATAATTTTTTATTTGTATTTGTATTTTTTTGTTATTTTATAATAATATGTTGGACGATTGGGCGGCTATTGCCCATCACAAACAACACAATATAGACACTAGTACACTATCAAATAAAAGATACCAAAAACATAATATATAGATATAAATTATAATTATATAATATGGATAATTAAAAATATTTTATTTCTGAAACGTAAAACGTTATTGTCTTGTCAGGGATTTTATGCCGTGTGGCGTGTTTAGCAACGCATTTATAAAGTAGGTAGGTATAAATAAATTCAGATCGAATTAAAAGACTATGGCCAATTTGACTATTTTATTCCAGTCAAATTAGACGAATAATTAGGCTTTAGCTCGGAAAAATTAGCACCAAGCCAAATGTCGGTTTATATTGGATATTTATTTTGTAAGGTGGTTGAAATTCGTATACCGCACGATATGAGAGTAGGTAAGTGTTAATTTGTTAATTGTACTTACTCCTATTTTAATTCGCATTTAATCAATTTTTGGAAGCCACCAATTTATGGTGGATCATAATAATAATAATAAAGATAAGTAAAAAAATTAAAAACTGCACGCCCGCCCGTACACTGTGAAAAAAGTCCGCTTGGATGGTCGGACTATCCAACTAATGCTCTCAATTCCGGTGGCGGAAATTACTGTGGAGCCGCACTATTTTAGGTACCATGTTATCACTTATCAAATGTAATATAATGTATATTATAATATTATTATTTAATAATTAGTTTTTACTTTATTACACATATTTAATATAGTAATAACATTATATTATTTATATTAATATATTAATTATTATTTTACTGTTTTATTACTGTTTTTTTTTTATTGTCTTCAATGTCAAATATTGAAAAAAAAGTACTTCACAGTTCGTCAGTCAACTTTCAAATATAAGTATACACATTTTATTATATTATTTTTTTGTTTCATGATTTATTGTGTATAATGTTGGTAAGTTTAGATTTTATAAAGTAATATTACTATACTATTTTTTTCTACTGAATTTACTTGTTCCATAGGTATGTGAAGAATGTGGAAAATATTTTTCTAAACCTTATAATTTAAAGCGTCATCAAACAACTTCATCGGTTTGCAGTCTCCAAAATGAGTCAAATAATTTCTTAAGTACAAAGTAATTTTATAACTCTAAATTAGGTAGGTACCCGTATACAACTCTAGATGGTGACCAGAAATTATAGAGGTACCTACGCTAGGGAAGTGAAACTTGTGGGAAACTGTTTTAGTCCCCGGAAAACTATAGTTTCAAAAAAATAAGCGATTTCAATGACTTTCACATATTATTATATTAGAAGACGTGTATACAATTCGATTTTACTATACTTTTAGTCAAGTTTCGGAAGCTGATTTAAAAGACTCCCTGCAATTAATGATGAGTTTAGAGATGAGCAATGCTCATTGAGCATGGTCACGGCCCCTTGACGGAACAGCTTACCAAGACATTTATGACACTCTCGAGAGAACAACGTTTACAGGGTTTCATAACTACAGAAGACGGTCAGGGCTGCCTGCTCATAACAGCTTTATCGATCTGACCGGAAACGTTGAAACCACGTGTTCACGATCGAACTAGTCCGTTCTTTTTTCGCTCTCTCACGCCAAAGACATGTCCCACGACGAAGAAACAACTACTCCGCCGAAGACCCTGCGATGGTGGCAGCGGTTCGGAGTATCGCCGTCGACGCCCGCGGCACCCTCGAACGAGGAGCTTTGCGAGCACGTGGTGAACCTCACTGCACAGGTCGTTTCCCTCACGCGAGAAGTCGATCGCCTCCGGCGCCTCATCGCGCGGCCAACCGCGACGGTCGCCCCCAGTGTTGCCAGATGGGGCGATTTTTCGCCAAAGTGGCGTTTTTGGGCATGCGTTTGGCGTACAATTGTTTGATTTGGCGTTTGGCTCTTAAAAAGGCGATACTCAAAAAAGATATGGCGAAAATTGGCGTTTTAAAAAAAAATTTTATTTTCAAAAATACATTTTTTGAATAAAATATTTATGTAGTATATAATTATTTAAATGTATGATTTAAAATTGTAAACAATAAATGAATTATTTGTTAAAATCAGTCTGTTGTTCTTTAACACATAATACTATATATTATTAAAAAATTATTATTAAAACCCAATTAATTTGATATTTAACTTTATATAGTTCAGTAAGATATATTTATTTATCTATTGTGGCCTTAGGGATCATCTTAAAGTTGATGCTATTAAGATAAGACCAGAAAATATTATTTATATAGTACTATTTCACTATACTACATGAAAAATAGAAATAATTGTTGCAAAACTGGTATTATATATTTTCCAAATAAAAACCAAAATATTGTAGTAAAAACCATTACTTATTTATGTAACCTGATTTATGTAACACAGTATTTAATATGGACAAATGGTAATAGATTTAAAAACTTTATTTATTAACTTAACTTTATTATTTTATTAAAATTACTCGGCATATTAATATATTCTAATAATGGGAAAAATTGAAAAATTAAGAAAATACCGTAAGACATGGGAACAAGACAGTTGGGCAAAAGGTGTGTATTATTATTATTATTATATTAGGCAGAGCAAATTAATGAATATTAATATTATCAATATATACTTCCTTTAGGTTGGTTAACAGAAGCTGATCCTAATGCTAATACTTTAGTTGAAGCATACTGAAAAGTTTGCTGTTCTTATTTAAGAGCTCATTTGACCGACTTGAAAAGACATGCAGTCACCAAAACTCACCGTGAAAAAATGGCCAGATTAAATCCTGTAAGAAATCAGCAATCTGTTTTAAGTAATATTGTTATTACTAATGAACAAAAAACAATTGATTTAAAGTTAGCTGTTTATGTAGCTACTCACACTGCAATTAAAAGTATAGATCATTTGTGTGAAATACTTAAAATAATTGGAAAAGTACAACTCTTGGTAATTTAAAACTTCATAGAAGAAAATGTTCATCGTTAATCAAATATGTCATTGCTCCATCTTTAATTGAAGAACTCGTCCAAGATATCGGTACCAGTTATTTTTCTCTGATTGTTGACGAATCGACTGATGTTTCAGTTTTCAAATACCTATGCATATGTATTAAATATTTTAGTGCGAAAAGTGAATCTATGAATTTACAGTTTTTAGGTATTATTGAAGTTGTTAGTTGTACAGCTGAATCACTTTATAATTATATTTGTAAATTCATGGATGAAATACATTTAGATTTAGGAAATGTAATCGGTATAGGTACTGATGGGGCAAATAATTTGTGTGGAAAATTCAATTCTCTTTTTACTCGTTTAAAACAAAAAAGCCCAAACTTACAGATTGTTAGATGTATTTGCCACTCCTTAAATAATGCCGTATCTAAAGCATCTGAAGAATTAAAGAAGAAATAGATCATATGACGATATTTGCAATTTATTTATTTTTTTGGAAAAAAAATCATGCAAAGAGCAGTAGTTTCAAAAGCGTTTCAAAGTATATATGATAACATTAATAAGTCTGTATGTTACTTAAATATAAAAAATTGTGATTTTGGGATTGGATATAATCAAGCAATACTCAACATTAATTTGTCTCAGAAAACAAAATTTGTATAGAAACAAGGGCATTTCATTTTATTAAGGAGTTGTTGCAAGAAATTAAAAAAAGATTGCCTGATAATTTAGAATTTTTTAAAAAATTAAAATTATTCTCATCTGCACAATGCTTGAATCAAATAAATACACCCTTTAGTGATTTGACGTTCATTAATATATTTCTAAATCAAACTGATTTTATTTTGGTGGGAACGCAGTGGGATAAATTGGTAACTGTTACCTGGAAAATGTACCTTAATGAAAAGGAGTTACACGATAGTCACCAATTTTGGCCTAAAGTGTACAATTATCAAGATGCTGGAGGTAATTATGCGTTTAGAGAATTAGCAGGATTGGTTCTTAAAATCCTTTCCTTACCATCAAGTAATGCTGTTGTAGAAAGGGTCTTTTCTATTATGAATACTGTTAAAACTAAAGCTAGAAATAGGATAAATACTAAAATGTTAGATGCTTTATTAAGAATTAAATGTACATTCATTTCTACAAACAAATGTTGCACTACATTTTCCCCATCTAAATTGATGTATGATAAATTTAATTCTGAAATAATGTACAAATGTGTAAATAATGTAAATACTGTGAATAATGTGATAAATGAAGAATTGTTGACCGATGAATTAGTTGATATTGTAAATGAAATAAGTTTACCAGATTTTTATGACTAACAATATTACTTAATCTAAATTATTGGACTATTATAGTATTGTATTTTTATATATATATAGAAAAATTAAATAAATACCTAGTTTGTCAATATTATGTTGTTGGTTATTACTTGGTAGGTTGTACCTTGTACTACAACCGTTGTAAGTACATCGTATTCGACATTCGTATATAGAAAATAAATGTATGTACATATACATATATAATATGGAATTAAAAAAAAAAACAGTTTCCATGAATATAAATAAGTAACTTATAGGTGGGTTTAACTGACGATTTAAGAGAATAAAATAAATGCAATATATTTTTTTAGAAGATAGAGTATAGACGTATAATTGCCTAACTGACATTTACATATTCTAAATTTTGGCGATAGATGGCGTTAATAAACATTTTTTTTTTGATGGCGATAAATGGCGTTTTTATCAGAGAAGTTTGGTGTGTGACTAGTTTATAAGTCTGGCAACACTGGTCGCCCCCAGCATCTCGGGGCCACACACCTCGCCGACGCCGCTCAACACGGCAGAAACGCCACCAGCTTCAGCAACGACAGTGGTTTGTTATTACCACGGTTTGTACGGCGCCGAGGCAAGATGTTGCCGCCCGCCGTGCCCACACAATCAGGCCATAAAAAACCTCGGCCATATGCCGCATTTTTTTTTTCAATCATCGACCGCACAACATCTTTAATCATTCGGACTCTTCTTTCAACTCACAACTTTGTCAAAATTTCAAAACTCAACTTTCGGACCAAACTTCAATATTCCAACGACAGTCAACTTCCTCTCGTACGTCAACCGTCCATACGGCAACCCACACGACCATAACGGCGTATTTATCATTGTCAAATAAACTATTCATTTTGTATTACCGACAAATAAACGTCCCCCCGTGGACTTCCAACGAATACTCCGGTGTTACATTATTTTTTTATCGTAATCTCGTGAGTGTCACCTCAATCTACACCACTAC